CTCGCTCCCCGGAGGTGCCTCCGGCCCCTCGCCGCCTCGCTCGCCTCGCCTGCCCGCGTCTCTGCCTGGCGGCCGCGATGTCTGACAAGGAATTCATGTGGGCCCTCAAAAACGGAGACTTGGATGAGGTGAAGGACTACGTGGCCAAGGTAGGAGCAGGCGGCTGAGGAGCGGCGCTATGGGCTGAGGAGAGAGGAGTGTGTAGGGGGGTGTCCTTCTCAGGGCCCTCCGACCGGATAGGGCTGGGGGGTGGCAGGAACCAGGACCTGCCTGGGGGAAGGCTCTCTGTGAGCTCTGCGCTGTGATGAGAGTCCAGGCGGTTGGGTGCGCTTCCCCTCCCACTCCTCGCGGCCCTCTCGGTTCCTGGGCTTCCTTCTTTTGGACACCTCTAAGGTGCTGGGACGCCTAGTCTAGGTCATTATTTGCTTAGAAAGGTTGGACCAGATGATCCTAGAGGTTCTTTCCAACCTGATATTCTGTGACTTTTTCTCACTCGTTGCCCTGCTCTTCTCCTGCACCCATGTTGGTTCTGTTGCATACAGGTGAAGTTGCTATGTGTCAATACATTAAATTTTCTGGATTGACAACCCTTATCTTAGTCCTGCCTCGTTGATCTTACGTGTATATGCGTATGTGTGGCCTCGGTTTGGTTATCCTTCCTCTCTGTGCCTCAGGGCTCATCCTTAATAGGGTGATGCTAAGCCACTGGGTGTGTTGAGGCTTAATTCATTAACCTTCTGTGAAGTATTTTGATATCTAGTTAGGGCGAGTGCTAGAGGAACAGTAGCCTTACCTGTATAATGGCTAAAAAGTCTTGAGGTACATTGTATTTTGAGGCTGGATTCTATCCTCGTTTGCCTTCAGTTGTCAATGAGATTTCTGGAGAAAGTGCATGTACGTAAGCTTAGTGGACCCTTAGTGTTCAGGAATATTACCTAGAATCTGTTACATCAGAGCAGAGATTTACATGTAATTTAGCTATAATTACTTGGATCTCTGAACAAGTGAATGATCATATTTGGAAGCTTGACATGTGCTGACATCTTGTTGCGATGACTTAAGTTCTTCTTGCTTCACTTGTCAACTTTGATAGTTACCCAAGCTTGTAGCACTCTTGGTAAAAAAACCCAAAAAACGAAACAAAAACATGTGCAAGTACTTCCAGCTGCTTTAGTACAAAGTCCAACAGCTTAGCTCAAATAGTCTTCTCTGACAGCGTCAGCTAAACTACTGGACTTTGCATCACAGTGGCTGTGCACTCACATGCTCTTCTCTGTCTCTAAGGTACTAGAAGTAACAACTGGGAATAATACAATTTAGCAGTTAAAGGGTTGTGTACCTATGTCTGTGTAATAAAGTTGGATGCTACATTGATGTGTCTTATTTCTTCTCAGCTTTGGGGGCCTCCAGGGTGTTTCAACAGCAGATTTGGATTCTTGTTACAGCTTTTGCAGGAATTCCATATATATATATATATAGAGAGAGAGAGAGAGAGAGAGAGAACTCGTTGCACAGTAGTGATTAATGGATCCTCATTTATTTGTTGTTGAGGTAAAAACTTTGGCAGTAACCATCTTGAGTCAGTTTATATCTGCAAGATCACTGCAGTACTAATCACAAAGCTTTTTTTACATTCCCACTCTGAGTGGCACTGCAACTTATGTAGCAAATGGATTTATGTGATCACTCTTCATCCACTTCAGTGCAAAGTCAAATACTTAGTTCCATCTGCTACTGAAAGAAGATTGAGCCAGGGTGGATGATGCTATAGTAAAGAGGCTGAAGGGCGTCATCTAACTGTACTAATGAGGTAGAAATCCTTAAAAGAGACACTGTGTTTAGATAATTGCAGTAAAATAAGCCTTACAATCCTTGAACAATATATACATTTGAGAACTGCCTTTAATGTAGAAAGTGAGTAAACTATGGGAACTTTCTCCTTATTTGTGACCTAATCTTGTTCATTCTTTCCCCTCCCGTTGCAAGTGTGCTTTCTGTCATCCGCAGTTAAACGTTCTACTTGCCAGAAGTACAAGAACTCTTAATGTTTTCTTTTCAGACTGGTGTGTTTTCTTGACAGATTGTGGCCTAGTAGACTTTTGGCCTGGTTTCCTGTGGAAACAAAGTTTATATGGGCAAGTTTTGACTGACCCTCTTCCTTCCTAATGGCTCGTTAATTTTTTGGATAATTTTTGGTAAGCTTTATATGGGGGTATGGGTGTGTTTTGTGAAACTAATGAAATAGAGGGAAGTACCTTAAAGGAAGAAAAGAGTACAAAAATGAACTCATGTTATACTGCACTACAGGAAATGTGCAATGAGAAGGGTCAAGAGAACTCTATAAATCCTAACTGTAGGAGAAACCTCAGCTGGAACTTTACATTCTTGGTTCCTAAATTAATAAAATATATGAAGGCAAATCATGTTTTGATAGTTACAGTTCTCAGAAAAGCGTCTGTTGCATGCTGCATGTTCTTTTTTGACTGTCTTTCTTATCAGTTACGTGGCTTCTGCTGCCTGCTGCTTTCCTGTTCTAAGTATGATTTACTGTTCAGGAATTTTATTTATATAACTTTGCAGTAGTAGAAATTTCCTCTCCCTATGATGTGGGAGTCTGCATCTTCATAAAATTCTTTCTTGTCTGTCTTTCTGAAACTTCTGATTTCCAGCTTCTCATTTGTCTTGTTTCCTCATTAGTTGATTGGAAACAATACAGCTTTGAACCATAATCTTGCAGTTTTGCTGCCAGTTACAAGATAAAGGGTTTGACCTTTGATTTTGTTTCATATCTGAATGTCAGGGCTTGAAATGCTAACTAGATGACCTGAGGCACTTTAAAAATAATAGTATAAATGGATGTCATCAGTGAGCCTGCATATCTGTCATGGCTTTTCTTCACTTGTGTGTAATAAGCTGTGGAGGTTCTGTCTTTGGAGTCATTAGTAGTATTTTTATTTTTTTTTTCATCTTGGATTTGGTTAGTAGGTACCAAGAAGAAGGTAGCTCTCAGACTCTGATTCAAACGGTAAGTAAAACTTAAAGTATACCTTGAAAACCGTGTCATTGAAAAGAAAGGATTATTCTCTTTAAATAGAGGAAGTTTCTGCCACTTCAACAGTTCTTGGACAAAGAAGGGATACAGAGGTGGAAGGAGGAGTCTGCATTTGCATTTCATACATTTCTATATAAAGAGATCTTGCATTTTCCTAAGATACTTTCTTCAGAAAGAACCTTTCACAGAAGCAGTAGTTCTGAGGGGTGGCAATGAAACAGACAAATGCCAAATGATACTGCTTTGTTTCTTGGCAAAAGAGATTTTAGTGCTGCCAGCCTGTGTGTTTGGAAGACTTTGTTAGTTTCTACTTGATAAAAGTGTGAAAGATTATTTTATAGTTTGAATAGTTCTGTAAAACTTCTTTGATTTTTCTAAGAAACATCTTGCTAGCCACTATTTTAAATAGAGAAATGTAAAGACAACTTTTTCTGTATGGTAAATATTAATTTCTACTGAAGTACTGTAGTTAGCATGTTGTGCTAACAGTTATGTATGGTGTAATCTATTTTTGTGATGACTAGATTAAAAAATAGCTTTTACTGTTTTCTTTCTTTGATGGTCTTTCTTTAGAACAGAGCCAGTATATGTTGCTTCAGAGGTGTCTTTGCAGGAGTTGAAGGAATTCTGCACTCATCCCACGTACATCCACTCAAATTTTTAAAATTCCTGAAGAAAGCAGCAGCTTTCATGAGAACAGATGCATCAAATGTGCAGTTAAATGGGTGAGGAGGATCCATGCAGATTAGAGAAATTCTTTTACTCAAGGGAGGGAATAAGAGGTTGAAATGTACTAGTCGGATGAAGAACAGGGTATATTAAGCCTGCAGAACTTCTTAATGTGAGTGATGGTTGCTCTTTTTCCTTTTCTTTATCCTCCTCCCTCAGTGGAACAAAATAAGCTGTACAACTGCTTTAAAAGACTTTTCTATCAACGTGTATGTGTAGTGTTTCCAGTCAGCAGTAGATTTCTCAGGCCAAGTATAATTCAATAAGTTCAGTCACTGGGCACAAAGTTTTTAGGAAGATAAACTTGTGTTTGTAAGGAAGAAGTTGCAATAAATGTTTTGTTCTAAAGTAACTTCATCTCCCATAGCTTAACTGGGAATTCCTCACTTCATGAGCTGCTGTCATCCCCTACACCATCGCTTCCTAAACATACTGCTACTTACAGTGATGTTTCGTAAATCAACTAACCTAATACTGTAAGAAGATAGGACAGTCAACCAAACTGGAAGCACTGGGTTTTTCCTGCCACCTGGCTGCTGAGAGGACTAAGAGGTTGGAGTGATGGTAGATTGTGAAACATGTTTTCTTAGAAAGTACGTATATGCTGTGCTTGCATAGTAAGCATTTATGGTGTGGAATCTTGTTTTTTAAATAATAAAACAAATGGCTGAAACAAAACCAAATCCCTAGAGGACCTTCAATAACTTGGCTACAGAACAGCAACTACCTGTGCTTCCTTCACTAAATTGTGATACTACAGTCTTTGCAGTTCTTTGGGATGTAATGATGCTTGAATATATGTCTTGAGAAATGCATAAAACTTGACTACTGGAAAACTAATTGGAGAGACTAACACAAGAACATTGTTTAGAAATACCTTTTATAAATAGGGGTGGCAGTCAGGGGTATAGTTAAGGTCTGAGTGTTGTGAAGTAGAGTCTTAACTGTGTCTGCAGCAAGAGTTGTTAGACTGGAGAAATAAATAGCTTTTAACTTTTGAGGGGTAACCTCTGTTCTTCTGAGTGGAATGACTTCTTTAGGAACAAACTGAATGAAAATAGACGCTTAAATGGTCATTGTATATGGGTGGATTACTTGAGTTACAGATTAACCATACCTTGGATACATTGAAATTCACTGTGTTTCATTGTTGAATGCTGAACTGTATTTCATTATTATGACTATATTGATATCTAGATTGCCTCTGGTTAGGAAACAATTGCCTTGCTCTTAAGTGAGAGGGAGCCTGCAAGCTTGCATGGATTACAGTGCAATGTAAGCATGCCTCAGTAGTTTGTCCTGGAGTTTATCAGGGCTAGCAATGACCTAGCTACTGGACTGAGTTTTATCCCCTGTGGAGCCCCTTGA